TGAACTACCGTGAGCGTAGCGGTTGGGTGAAGGGGATCGGAGGCGACAAGGCCCCCGTTCCCCTTCTAGGATACGGAGATGTGACCTTAGTCCTACAGACGGAAGATGATGGAGTACCCGTACCAGTACTGAATGCTGCCCATGTACCAGAGGCCACTACAACCTCCTATCGCTGTCTTCGTTGGCGGAGGAGGGCCACACGTATTCGGGGATGAAGGGGGGTAATACAACGGTGTAGCGGAGAGAGCGCTAGGGTTGATCACTGATGCCGCACTTGCGTCGCGCACCCCAGCGACGCAACTGTTCCCCGACGCACCGAACCACCCCGGGTTGTGGGCCGAGGCCATTTCGTGTGCATGCCATCAGCTGAACTGCACCGCCACTAAATCAAACGAGGGAGACAAATCCGCCTACGAGATGTTCCACGACTCCCCACCGCCTGTCGGGTCTACATACGCGTTTCTCGAACCAGCCGTGTTCAAGTCGAGAAGAATAGCAAAGTCGCAACCCAAGGGCGAAAAAGTGTGGTACCTTGGTCCTGCCCACAATCACCCCCGTGACTGCGTTCGTATGCTAACCGAAGCTGGAACCGTAATCACCACCCGCAATTTCACCTGGCGCCACGTGCCCGCTGCATCGCCCGCTCCCCCGCAGCTGCTACCTCTCGAAGATGACGAGGAGGGCGGGGAGGGCGAGAGCAGAGCGGATGCATCACGCCAAGGTTGGGGAGGGAAGACAGACTCAGAGAGTGAGTTCGACCTCGACGTGATGGAGGCTCGTGGGCCACGGCAAGCGACGCCGGTTGTGCGCGAGGAGGCGCCGACGGCACCCGGCAACGGGATTCCGGGGGACGGAGGCAGCGTTCCCCCGTCGCCCCCTTCGGGAAGAGGCGACTTCGGCGGAGACAGTGACAGCCCCACCGACAGCAGCAGCAGCAGCAGCAGCAGCAGCAGCCCGAGCAGCAGCAGCAGTGACGCCGGCGCTGCCGGTGGCCCGGGCGTCGAAGAGTCCGGCAACCCAGGTGGGGACGGCGGTAGCGATGCTGATCCCGGCGACCCCGAAACATTCGAGGAGTTGACGTATGATCCAGCCGACGACCGCTACCCCCGCGGGCTAGAAGGGAAGAAACTCCTCTGGGGCGCCTCGAACGCTGACCCGCTGCGCCATGGGCTTGAGAGTGGCTGCACGCGGAAGCAGACCCGGGAGATGCAAGGTGCCGGGGAGATGCCGGGCCCCGGAGAAACACCGGACCCGGAAGAGGCATTGCTGGCGACCATCCTGGAAACTGGCGGGACGGGGATTGTTGCCGACTACATCTGCAACTCGCTTGTGAAGGAGCAGTGGGACGAGGAGCAGACACGCCGTATGGAGGAGGAGATGTACAGGCGCGAGATGCAGGAGGTGTTGGGCCCGGAACAGCAGGCGTTCGGGGCCGAGGTCGACTCCAGCGAGTCTTCGCAACCACTCCCAGACCCACAGCTAAGTATGACCTCGCCAATCGGACAGAAGCCGAGTGATGTGGAAGCAGTACCGATGACGTACAAGGATGTGATGTGTTCCAAGTACAAGGTTTTCTGGGAGGCGGCCATGAAGAAAGAGATAGATGTCCACGACAAGACTGGAACCTTTACCAAGGTCAAGGAGCTGCCCGAGGGGCGGAAAGCCATAGGTTCAAAGTGGGTGTTCTCTTGGAAGACGAATGAGAAGGGCCTGGTAGTTGACTTCAAGGCCCGTATGGTTGCGCGGGGATTCTCTCGAATCCCCGGCATCGACTTCCACCACTCATCCTCACTCTGCAGCTTCTATCAAGACGGTGATTGCCGTAGCCACTGAAAAGGGCAAGAAACTCGCTCACTGGGATATGAAGCAAGCGTACATCCACGCTAAGTTGAAAGAAGAAATATAGACCTACCTCAGGTTCCCGGAAGGCTGTGGTAGCATGTCCGGCAAGGTGGTCAAGGTTGAGCGTGCCCTGTATGGCCTCAGCAGAGTGGCCGTGAGTGGGGCTTTGAGACTGCCGATGCCCTCATCGAGAATGGATACGAGCAGTGCAGGGTTGACCCGTGTGTCTTCCGGAAGGTGGTGGATGGAGGGGTCGTAGGTGTCATCGTGATCTACGTTGATGACATCGTAGTGTCGGCAGACGAGGGAGAACGAGAGGAGTTGTTCGCTTCCCTCAACAAGAAGTTTCCGGTGAAAGATCTGGGGGAGTGTACCTGGTACGACGGGTGTGCTATCGCCATGTATTTTGAAAATGGCATCACCAAGCTGTCCCAGACAGCATACACTGAGAGTATGCTGAAGCGGTTTGATGTGACCACGACCGCTTTCACCCCTGCTGCCGCCGATGCCGACCTAGGGCCGGAGAGAGATGATGAGCCCGCGGTGGACAAGCCTGTGAGGGAGGCGATCGGATGCCTGATGTGGACGAAGCTGACGAGGCCAGACATCGCCCTGCCTCTGAACAAGTCCAGAAAAATCGCCCACTCACCCACCGGGGGGATATGGAACGCGCTTGTGCGGATCATGTCCTACCTGAACTTCACAAAGGACTTCGGCATCACCTACGTACGGGGGTCAGGACTAGACCTAAGCGTGTTTGTCGATGCCAGCTACGCTGACAACGAAGTAGACAGGCGTTCTACGACCGGGCTAGCTGTGACCGTAGGTGGTACCGTAGTGTGTGCATCTACCAAGACGCAGCCAGCGACGGCTCAGTCGACCTCCGAAGCAGAGTATATGGCAGCCGGGGAGGACGTGAAGGAGGCGTTGTTTGTGCGTGGCGTTCTGTCATTCATAGCGCCCGAGACGAGTGGGTCGAAGATCAAGGTCCTCGAGGACAACAAGGGGGCTCTCGCCTTAGTCGAGAACCCGTTCAGCTCAGCGAGGAGCAAGCACATCGACGTGCGGTTCCATTTCATTCGCGAGCTATTCAAGTCGGGCAAGATCACTGCAGAGTATGTTCCGACTGGAGAGCAGCACGCCGACATGCTGACCAAGGTCCTTGGCAGAGAGAAGCTAGAGTACCACCGGGAGGCTCTGATGAACCTACCGATGTAGTGTTCTCTTGTTCTGTTTGGTTTATGTGGTGGTTTTAGCACTTGGCATATATGACCATGGTACGTCACGCAGGAAGCTTGTGCCGGCGCGTCACCCGCGGCTGGAGCCTAGAAACGCCGAGAGCGTTGCTTCGGGTGTGTAATCAGCGTGACCGGTTCAATCTGTCCTGCCTTGGTCTTGTCTTGGAAGTGCGGCCGTTGGAATCCTCCGTGATAGCGACGGTTTTCAATATTAGGGTGTTCGACGAGGGTTTTTGATCCGGTTGGCCGAGTTTCCCTCGAGCCTGTTGTTATTTTGAGTCCCTTTGGTAGATCAGGGGTATCCATGCCCCACGTTAGGTTTGCCATTCGCGTGCAATCCGGGGAGGGTGTTCGTGTGTTTGGATACGGACTGGTTAGATCTACCGGCAACAACAGAGGGCACGCAGATGGGGCATATGTACACCTTGAAATAGTTGCATGTGCGGGGACTCCTCGAACTCCAAAGAGGGCTTCACTTCTCCCTACTCCCCTTGCGTGTCTGATACAAGAGATAAGACGTCTTCCCCTTCCACGTAAAGGACATATACGAACAGAGGACAGCGGAGGACAGCAGTTGCTGCTGCTGGTGCTGGTGGTGCTGCTGCCGCGCTGCTGCCCTCCGCTGTCCTCTCGTCTTTCCTGGTCCGCCCGTGTTCCTTCCTGCGCCACTACGGTTCTCACCGCCAGTGACGAGGGCATGAGCCCCACGCTCTCCTGCTTCTTCCTTCGCGCCTCCATCTCCGCCCAAGCATTCACTATTATTAATTATATGTTCTAATCTCTCCTTCTCTATACCACTTTCGGATATCAGAAAGCCTGTGTAGACATCATATTCGGGGAGGAGGTTGGGCACAAGATGTCTGTTAGCATCATCCTCTGTGATCGTCACGCCGCATGACGATAGTCTTTACCTCAGTATCCACCCTCTCGACACATACTCCTTCGGGTGCTGGTCAACTTTCTGCGTCATCTCCTGCCACTCTAGTTGTAGGCTAGTTTTTTCGTTGTGAGCGTGCACTTCGAAATGATTTCGGAATATCCTCCATGACTCCGTGGGGCAACCACTAGAGATAGATAATTGCTGGTACGATCGATGCAACTTGAATCTTCGCCAGCATTAGCAGCCATACCTCCATCATCAACAGCAGCTGCCGTACCCGCCACAGTACCGCCCGATTTTTGTGTAAAGTTCTGCACCCTCCACAACACCCACTCTCACAGCAACGAGGAGTGCCGCCTACAACAAGGTTGGAGGGGAGCATCGAACGGTACTGGTGCGAGCTTCGGCGGAAGGCACGGCCTTCAGCAGGGGGGGGCGAGGCTACTGCAGAGGAGGACACGGACATCAGCAGCAGCAGCAGCCGGCGGGAGGAAGACACGGGGGACGTGGCGCCACTCCCAGTGGATGGGGCAGCAGCCCTTCTCACCAGGGAGCACCAGGCAGCAACCTTCCTGCCTACCCCGTGCCTCAGCAGGGGTACGACTTAGCGCGTACCCTCCGACCCTCTACCGCCCCCAAGGAAACGAGCCGCCCGTACACGCAGCAGATCTGAGGAAGCGGTGCGAGGACTGCGGTGAGCTGGGCCACAACCACATCTTCTGCCCTTCACGGGTGGATGTAGGCAGACCAGCCGGCCAGCCCACAGCGCCCGCACCGCCCCGGCCCCCGGCCGCGGGATACAACACCCAGCGGCCCCCGTGGGCCCACTCCTACGGCCAGGCTAACGCCGCACAGCATTACGGCGGAGGGGCGCACGGGACAGGAGCAGCGACAGGAGCATCAGCAGGAGCGGCGGCAGGAGCACAGCAGCAAGCGGTGACGCACGTGAGCGGCGTTTACCAAAATCCGGTGACGCACGCGAGCCTTGTTTACCAGTACCCGCCCCAACAGCAGCAGCCGGAGTACCTTTCCCCCCCCGTGCAACAGCAGCAGTCCATCCNACTCCTACGGCCAGGCTAACGCCGCACAGCATTACGGCGGAGGGGCGCACGGGACAGGAGCAGCGACAGGAGCATCAGCAGGAGCGGCGGCAGGAGCACAGCAGCAAGCGGTGACGCACGTGAGCGGCGTTTACCAAAATCCGGTGACGCACGCGAGCGTTGTTTACCAGTACCCGCCCCAACAGCAGCAGCCGGAGTACCTTTCCCCCCCCGTGCAACAGCAGCAGTCCATCCCCAGCCCGTACGCTCCTCCGGCGCCTTCGACCGGAGCGTCTCCATCGACAGGTGGGGATTTGCATGCGTTTGTGGTGTGGGCTTTTCCAAGTGAGTCTGAGAATGGTGTGCTCGTAGAGCGTAGGGTCGACGGTTATGCAATGATGAGCGTGCTTGATGAGAGTGTAGGAGACGAAACTTGATTTGCAGACTCTGGCGCCACGAACCACACCACAGGTGACCCTAGTTGCATGTACGATGTGCTGATTCCTCCCCCTGGTAACGAGCGAATGGTGATTGGAGATGGTAGGACGATGCCTGTACTTGGTATCGGAAGCCTGAACGCCAAGTTCCACGATGGTGGTAGCGAGTTTTGCGTAAAGCTCACCAACGTGCGTCACATTGAGGGAATGGATATTCATTTATTTTCGCTTCACAAGGCCATGGGTGGGCAACGCATTGCGATGGATCCTGTAGGCATTCACCTCTTTGACAGAGGTTTGACTTTTCCCCGTGGCGAGCGTGGTTCATCATTGAGAGCCACTCGTGTACCGCCCAATTACACGAAGCCAATTGCTGTGCCCGTGGTACCGCCGTTTTCCCCGCCTCCCTCTCGCACTGCAGATGTTGTGGGTGTGACTGGTGTTGGTTCTATGCATGCAATCCCCCGCATGCGGCCTTCCCGCCACGGTGTAGCGTACATGCCCCCTTCCTCGGTGTCTAGTGTCCCACCCACTGTCGCCAGCGCCAGCAGTGTATTTACCTCCAACGGTGTCTAGATTCTCGCCCACCGCCAGCAGTGTCATGCTTCCATCCGCTCCGAGCAGCGTTGTGCCAACCCCCGTCTCTGGTTTCCCGCCCGCTGCCAGCAGCGTAGTACATTCTGGTGACCCCACCGCACACCGATATATTTTTCGTGCCTCCGTGTCGAATTTTCCGCCTGCTGCTGCCGGCGTAGCACCTTCCACGGTGTATGGTTTCCCGCCCGCTGCAAACAGCGTAGTATCCTCAACTTTGTCCGTTTTCCCGCCCGCTGCGAGCAGCGTCGTTCCTCCGGCGATGTACACCCCCCCCTCGCTGACAGGAGTGTGGTTTCTCCTTCCGCTTTTCAAGTGCCCCGTGGTACGGAGTTGGTAGCTGTTCCCGGGTTGCCCTCGACCGACGTTACCGTTTTTCAGGAGAGTAGTGAGGATGACGACCGTGGTTGTATCCCGTTCACAGAGCAGGGAGATTGTGAGTGGGCTTTGTACCTCTTGGAACAGAGAAAAGAATAGGATGACCGCTACGAGTTTTTGGACTTGATGCTTGAGTCTGGATTTGCCACTGTCTTCGATGATGATGCCTTCGCCGTTCCCGTCATGGCCCCGGGCAAGCGCCCTTTCACGGTGGGGAAGCCCACCGAGATTATTGACGTTGACCTTCGCCACGTTTCGTGCTCCCAAGCCTATGAGTTTATTTTGCGTGAGCTTGCGAAGCAGCACGGTCTCCGACTGACCGGTGTCCTGCAGCCTTGTGGTGGATGCCTGCAGGCGAAGGGGAAGAAGGCGGGCGTGCCTCACCAATCGGGCACGCGCGCGGAGCGGCCGCACGAGCTTTGGCACATCGATCTGTGTGGGCCGACGACGGCCTCGCTGGGGGGTTCGTTTTTCATGATTATGTTCGTGGACAGCTTCTCGCGGTGGATGAAGCTGTACGGGATGAGGCGCAAGTCGGACACCCTCGCCTTCGTCAAGAATTCCTCGCCGACGTGAGTGGCACCGGTGTCCCTCGCTCTTTCCGGATGGACAACGGGGGGAAGTTCATCAGACGCGACTTCATCGCCTTCTGCGACAACGCCGGCATCCGCCGTACGTACACGGCGCCAGGCAGCCCGCACCAGAATGGTCCGGCGGAGAGTGCGATCTGGCGCGTGAGCAAGGCCGGCCACGCCGCTCGTCTCGAGGCACGCCGCCTGTTCCCCAAGATCGACTTCACCTGCGTCCCCGGCTTTGGACGCGATGGCGAGCGACCTTGGCTAGAGTCGTGTCACTAGGCTGCCGGCGGCTTCAACCGTTCTCCGACCAAGGCAAACGTCGGGTGCAAGTCGCAAGTCGCCGCACGAGCTCTTCACCGGTCGCCCGCCCCCGCTCCAGATCTTCCCGTTCTTGCAGCCGGGGTACATGCGTGTGACGCGCGCGCGGAAGATGGATCCCCAGGCAAGGCTGTGCTGCTACCTCAACAACGGCGACAACCACCACGAGTCGGCGGTCAAGGTCCTCAAGTTTGCGACGGGGCGCGTGTGCATGACGAACAACGTCGTGTGAGTCTCCGACCGCGCGCCGTTGCTGACCCCGCCGCTGCAGCTGCGGGCGCCGGCGGACGAGGGGGGGATTCGGATGTCGCCGCCGCACCGTCTCTAATTGAGTATATTTCACCGCCTCTCTTACCCCCCTCACCGTTCGCCCGACATCCCATTTCACCCGCTGCCATATCCTCACAGGCGCCGCCGGCAACTTCCACACCACCATCGCCGGCGGCGCCGTCTACCGCAGCCACACCACCGCCACCGGTCACCGCGCCGCCTGCAACGCCGTTCGCCGCTGCGCCACCGTTCACCACCACCGCGCCGCCTGCAACACCGTTCGCCGTCGCGCCACCTGCAACGCCTTCGCGCCGCCCGGTGCCGCGCCATCGACTAACGTGCCGCCGCTCATTACGAGGACCATCCGTGAACTGGACGTGGGGCGCGAGGACATGAGGGTTTCTGGGCACACGAGGGCAACCGCTAAGGACCAAGTGGAGGGGGCGGGCGGCGTCAATGCCGCCCCTCTCTGCCAGGGCTAATCA